TAAAGGAAACATAAAAGATGACGCCCCCAAAAGCGGAAAATCATAGTCGGTGGAAGTTACGCTAGGTTTAACATGCGTGTGTACATCACAATAAGCATTTACATACCTTTTGAGGGAAAGAAATATATAAAGTTCCTATAACAAAGAGGTAGGGTATGGGGTCTGTTGAATAGGGAAACACATACAAATTAAAATGCTAAAATGGTAATCATGCGCTGCGCTATACAATTATACCCTACATGTTATGGAAAACATGATCATAATGATCAAAATTATTAAAAACACGCTCACCAAGATCACCGCCAGGTTTCGTTAATGTGAAACAATTCTAAATTCAAATTTCTTTAAGATAAAAGCAAATGCGACAAACCCGAAGATTTTTACAGAGATGGCTCCTTTCAGCGCTACAGTTTTTACTGCGCTTTGAGATGAAGATTTAACACTTGCAGAAAGGAAACTATCTGAAAAAGGTTGACCATTAAAATGACGCGCGTTCGCATTTTTAAAAGGTTTCCCTATCTTTATGGACTTAACAGCGTTACCCGCGTAGAATTGGCTCACTCCTTTCCTATTATCTCTCTTCAAAAAAAGCATAACTAGAGGATTCTCTGCGGAATTATTTAACTAAAAAGGAAAAGAAAAGGGTCCTACCAGATGCATGGATACCTTTGCAGGTAAACCTTTCCCAGAGAGTTGTCGTGCTTACAGGTACGTGACAACCTTAGTAAATACACTAACTATATGGCGTGGTGAAGAGAGCTGTTTCTTTACGCCGGCGAACTTAACATCTCAAGTCGTTCGGGAGCCGATTGGAAAGCGACTACAACTTTTTTCTGTCGTTGATGACGAATGAAAAATAGGATAAGTTTCTAAAGAAATTGTGGAGCTGCATCGGTAGGGGGTGTAATGTTCGGTAGCCGATTGAAACGCGACTACAATTTTCTTTCTGTCAGTTGATAACAAATGAATAAAGGGGGTAAGTTTCTAAAGAACCGGTGGAGCTGCATCGGTAGGGGTGTAATAAGGTGATTTGATCTTATCAACTGAGTGTGTTATGTAAATTAGCCACCGAAAAGAGTTTCAAAGCCAACGTTTCGAGCGTTAGCCCTTCGTCAGAGAAAAAGATGCGTAGCGTTAGATGTTTGCTTCACAGTGATATGAGAAATTTTTAAAGAAGTTTCTTCATCTGTAAGATACTCTCACTCGTTGCTAATCATCAGTTGAGTCACGGAAAGAAAATGGCGAAGGTATCGCATGTTCCATGAAAGTCGTGCGCTTTTTCGAAGTTTGTTTTCAATTAAAGGGGAAGGATCACTTTTCTGATTTGTAGGCCCGCGATATAACGTGGAAGATTTGAACGAATTTCAGCAGGTTTTTCCTCTTCTGACCGAGAAAAATGTTTCGGAGAGGGCCGCCGAACATGATCAGATAGGGCGCCTGAAAAGCAAAAGTTTAAGCATTTGCGTATTACGATAGTTTTGGATCGCAATCAATGTGAAACTTACCTCCTTTTTGGCCTAAACTATTTTCCCGGCAGGTTAAAAACTTCGATACGACGGGATATGTTTCTTCTGGATACTACACGTGAAGTGTTTCGATCTGAAACGGAAACGAAATAGCTGGTTTAGAACATCGACCTGCCGGCGACTAACAAGTAAAGTGATGGTCGCACGCACTTAACTTTTCAATCACATTGGCGACCAGTTGGTTGAACTTTTGGACGCAGATTAACTAATTAAAGGCTGCCGCTGCCAATAACGTACTACTGCTCGCCGATGATGATAACATTACTGTAGTTCAGACACTTGGTATTACTGTTTGCGAGACCCAAAGATCCCAATAAACACATTCATCATTTGATACATTTCCGCCTGTTATTTCGTTGGCTGAAAGTAGTGTCTCGTGATATTGGTCTCCAAATGTAAAACGCCGTAAAGGTGCGTCTTGGTACAAATAAAGACCCACTCCTGCGTTCGGGTAGTTGCGCTCTTCCGTGAAAAAATTCCCGATTGCTTTCCCAAGCCTCCGAACATCGAGTATTGAAAATATTTCCAAAAAAAAAAGAAAGAAAAAACACAATCAAGGAAAAAAAAAAGGTTATTGAACATCAAAACAATTAGTTGACTCGGTTTCCGCAGATCTTCTTTAGTTGTTTCTCGCAGTATGGGAAAGCTGATCTGCTTGAAATTAAAAGCTCACTCAAGGATTGTTTAATGTGTTAGGAGCAATTCGAATGGTATTCTGAAAATCGGTTGAGTATTAAGCTGAGAAAGCTAGTTATCTATATGGTTGTCCGTGGACCTAGTTTTATTATTTTTTTTTGCGTTTTGTAGAAGTTAAACTTGTTAAGGGTTCTGCGCTGTATATAAACAGCACATCATCATATATTACTAAAACTTTGAAATATCATGATGCGCCTTCATACGTGTTCAGCCTTATAATTACCCGTGCCGTCAATTTTTAATTTTTGTTTTGTAAGAATAGCACACTGAAATTTAGAGTGCTTAGAGGATCTGTCATGTTTACGATAATTGACGAGTCAAGTAGTACTGGTCGGCACGGAAGGCCGAGAAGGCCTTCGAACGAAAAATTATAGCGTCTTAAAATGTTTTCCTTCCGTTTAAAAATGAGCAGAATGTCTTGTCGAAGTTAAGCTTTCACAATTTGCTATGATTACAAAACACAACTCAAGTATCTAGCTAACATCAAGTACTACCCTATACAGCATATTAAGGGTTATGACGAATCATATTAAACAGTAAAATTGTGAGCTTTAAGTCATGTTGTCTTTGCAAGTATTTTCATAAATGTAGATATCCTTTTTTCCGTATTTATTTTTTTTCAGCTAAATAAGCTAAGTAGATATGCAGACATTGCCAACAAAATGGCTTTGAAAACTGTTGCATAATAGATGCACAAGAAATTCATCATTGCGTTCTTCTGCTTTGTCATAGCAAATGAGGTGTCCCAAAAAACTTCAGGGAATGATTTTTCTAGTATTATCTAAAATTATTTCAAATTGAACTTGTCTAAAGGACCTGTATTAAGGGAACCGTATCATATTATTGTTGAACTTTTCTCTGGAGACTTGCTTTGTAAATCAAATGAGCCAATTTTCAAGCAGGCGTCGTCGGACAGTAGGTCTCCATTTGCTGTGTTTTCATTTCATTTCTTTAAAATTCATCTAATTCTACGGTTCCCTAAGGCTAAGCTGAAAGGAGTACCAAACGTAAACTTTCAAACCCATCCCTTAAGAATTCATTCGCTGAAAATAGATCATGGACTAGTGACACAAAAGAATTCCTTCCGAATAGATAGCTTTTCTTAAGCGTAATTATTCGTAACACTGTCTTGAAAATAATTGTTACCATAACTTTCTGACAGACGCTTTCGACTGGACAGACCTGTCTCTCCCGTGAAGCAGTTGTTGACGTAAGCCTCTTTAGTTAAGGCGGCCTAGATTAGTCTTTGATCAGTCTGTTGAAGTGCAGTATTTCATTCGAATTCGGCGTAGACGTCGGTCTTTCTTCTTCCAAAAGCGAATGATGTGTTAGCTGGAATGTGCTCTATGTAATCCAGTGAATACTGATTATCGCAGTCAATAATAGAATCAGCCTTGTAATATCTTTGAGTATTGTAGATTCATATTTTCAATGTTGGCGGGTCGAGACGACTTTTGAATAAGATCACAACCATTAAAACCTCTTGAGTGGAAATGTTAAAGATTTCGTTTTTGTGGTAGCTTTTTGCTCACGTAAAGGTAGTGTAAAAGATGACACGCTATTATGCTATTTGCAGTGCAGGAAATACATAAAAGCTTGGTAAAGTAAAGTAAAAAAAAAACAGGTACAAAAATAAAATTGAAACAAAAGTACCGAAACTATCTTACATTTGTTATTGAATCGAAAATGTCTAAGACAAGGAAATTTGGTACACATAATAATCTTACCTTATTTTCAGCTAATTAAACTAAACTCTTCGTGACCAAATAAAAGTCTACAAATCTATATAAAAAGATAAAAAATTTGTGTTGCGCAACTTTTTGCTTCCGATGCAGCTGCTACCTTTGAAGAATTATTTACAAATTTTTATTCGGGGTACAAACGAGCTTATTCATGTAAGGGGGGAGGGGGTAGTTTTTCTACGCTCTAGATGTTGACTGAAACGTCAGTTGCACCTGCTTTGCACTTTTCTTCAAATTCTGATCTAACTTCTCTTTTATAGCTGTTGTTTCTGAATTCGTTAATTTTCGTTCTGTTCCTTTTTGTCATATTTTACAAGTTCTTGAACGGTAAATCACATATGGTAAAATTTCAAATGATACACTTCATTCTCGTATCGCTCGATGTTCATTTCTTTTTTGTAGGGCTTAAAGAAAATTTTTACATTTCTCTAGAGGTTAGGGGCTATTCTCAATCAGTCTTATATAAGTGACGAAAATCTTAATTTCTCCCAAAGCGTCTTAAGCTAATAACGGGAGGCAAATTAAACAACACCCTAGGGCCTATTTACTTTACACGCCCACTTTTAAGTTGAGACCTTTAGAAACAAATTCAATTTTGAAATTACGATTGAAACTCAGTGTAAAACTGATTTTCGAGCCACGAAGCCGCCTTCTCCTTTAAAAATAGTTGTTAATAAAATATTACTAACAGCAGGCGAATGCAAACACCAACAACTAAAGACAACAACCAAATTACAACCCAAACCAAAAAACGTAACTGATAAGTTTTAAAATTGCTATTTTTTCACGAGCCAATGCAGCAATATTTGGCTCTAGTTAATAGTCGTATCACCGTTTGGGAAGAAATCCAGCAAATAGAAAAAGTGCATGTCCACATCTTAGAAGTGTTAGTTAATTCAGGAAAGGTTTATTCCGGTGTAATAAACATAAAAGTAAGCGTAATTCGAAGAAGTATATTAAATCTTGGTTGGCAGGATGCATTAAGGGTTGATCGATAGGAACAACTTGACAAACAGAAAAAAAAAAAAACCGCAAGTCACACCATTACTTTTTATTTAATCATATTATACGGTTGGAATACAAAATAGTCCGGAAACGTATTGTTTCTTTTTTCGTGAACCAATTTTGAATTTAAATTTTCCCTAATGAGTTGAACAAAATGAACAAAAAGAGGTGAACTAATAATAGAACAACACAGAATACAATAATGAATAAGTTTTTGAAACACAGTTCTTGCTGCATCTTTGAAATGTACATCGCCACATGAAGGAACAAAAGATACATAAAAAAAAAACTAATGGATGACACTTGTTTCACATTTCTATAATGCCGTTGACGTTCTCATTCTACTTGATGGATTTAACGTGTCAAATCCTTCATTAAAGCGTTCTCTGCAGAAAAGCCTCTGTACTTCTCTCTTCATATCCCTCTTTAAAAGCGCATATACCAAAGGATTCCCTGCGGAGTTCAGAGTGAGTAGGCAAACGATGGTCTGGCCAACTGCAACGGAAGATTGACACGAGGAAAAAGTCACACAAAGAGTAACGGCGCTTACAACTACGTAGCATCCCAAGAAAAACACAACGATAGCGATGATGAAGAGAGCTGTGTTGCGCAGTCTTCCTCTTCGTAAGGCTTCTGCTTCCGTGGTGGGCCTTCCGTTTAGCTCCAATTCAGACATCTGGCTTGCCTGTGTCCGAGCCACAATGAGAATACGAACAACGGCATACAAAAGCAGCGCGCAGGAAACTATGTCAAAGATGGAGATGTTTAGTATTCGCAAGATCTTCAGGGCAGTGGGGGACTGCGTTGCGTATAATCCCACCAAAAGAGACAAGGCACTCGCAAAGGAAATCAGCCATGCGGTCATGATGACCATCCCTGGACGTCTCTCGGTCATGGACGTGTGGTACTTGAATGGATGAACGATTGCGACGTAACGATTCCAAGTCAATGCGCAAAGATTTGTGGCCGACGAATGAAGGAAAAACCAGAAAAGCGCCACGTATACTTTAAGGTTACACTCTATTGAGCTTAAACAAAAATATGACAAAGGATAAACGATGATTCCAACACCAAAGTCGGCCACTGCCAAAGACAGAACAAACCAGTTTGCAGTGGAATGAAGTCGACGAGTTTGGGCCACAATACCAACCACAAAGCCATTTCCTGCCACTGTAGTGATAGAAAGAACCCATCCAAGAATGTTGAACCACGTCTCCATTTAAATCGAACCTCTCTTGACGCACTGCCACAACTGTTCTCGCTTAAATTGGTTTAAAGCGTAAAATAGGTCGCTGTCATATGCCAAGCGAAATGAATAAATACAATCCCATAAATTTACAATTACACGGCAATTTAATTTCTTTTCCAGCTGTCACTTAACAGGGAATTGTTCTTCAGATGCTTGTGCCTATCTGTGTTTGCAGAATTTAAACAATGTTTTGAATTGCTCACGTCGTGTGTTTTCCTCCACTTAAGAGTTATAAGTGGAATATAAATGAATATGCAAGCTTATTGAGGAATTGAAAAGTAAATTCCGCCAAGACTGCTCTAAGACTCTTTGCTGGTGTAGATTCCATCAAACTGCTCCGAAACAAATGTCAGCTGGTTGAGGTTAACTGAGAACAATCGTTTTTCTTGTTCACAAATTGGACTCGTGTAGGAAAATTTGCACCGCAAAAATTCAAAATTTCTTATCTAAGATAAAATTTCAATGCATAAATCGAAGCTCATTTATCATCACCACCTACTCTTTTGAAGTTGTCAAAGTGTCTCCTAGCGCACAAAAATTCAAAATTTTTATCTAAGATAAAATTTCAATTTATAAACCGAAGCTCATTTATCATCGCCACCTACTCTTTCGAAGTTGTCAAAGTGACTCCTTGCGCGCATTAATCTATTGTGCGGTATGAATGTGTTTATCAAGAGTTTCCGAAATTCTTAATCAATAATCCGGACGAAGTATATACTTTTTCCCAAGATGACAATAGAAAGTATAGAAAGACACTCTTTGCATATAACTTAGGGCATCACAGCTGCAATTGGAAAGTATGGATGAGTTACGAGCATGAACCATATTTATGGTTCATGCACGTTATTTTTCTCTAAAAAAATGTTATTTGAAAAGTAGTTTGAAAAAAATTGAATCTATCTTTTTGGAAAAAGTTAGAAATATTAACCTTTATTTTCCGTCGCTAATTCGGCTTCTACTCTCACACTTTGCTGTCCAGTTCATTAAAACCCCAATTTCAATGCAACGAGGCTTTTAGTGCACAATCCACCTGTGTTGGTTTCAAAGAAACCGAAACTCCCTGTGTCAGATATTGTTTTGACATTGTTCAGGTATAAGGTCCCCATGAGAGTACTTCCTGATTAATTGAACTTTAATGGTCAAACACGAGACTTTGGCTTTCCCTTAGGTCGGATTATGACCTTTGCACATAGATTTTATTCTAAAATATTTGCTGACGGTTAAGAATTAGAATGCAATCTAAAGAAAGAAGTAAGAAACTTCAGGTGATACTGTTATCGATGGCGCTTCTTTCATACCTTTGTTTGAATTAAGACAAATTAAAACCGAAAAAAAAAAAGCACAGGGTGCGATAAATATTTTTAATCTGTAGGTGTTGTCATGATAATTGCTTCGTTTGTTTCTGTGCTGACAATGAAGCACTTTTAATTAACTTTCCGTCAGAAAGCTTTCATGATGCTGTTAGATTGAGATAAGAGAAGAAAAGCTTAACTATCATTATTTTTTCGGTAAAATCTTGGTTTTGAAGGTTTTCGCGACTCATACTCTCTGTAATCCTGCTGAGGAGGACAAAGCATTTGTTATCTCATTCACATGATTTTTTTTTTTTGTAGGAAAAGACTTTTCCGGTAAACGGATGGGTAAATATTTGTTAGATTTACTTAAAATTTCAGGAGGTCGGCTTTATTTACCCCTTCGAACCTCATTTTTTCTTACGCACTCGGACAAGGTTTTCAAATTTTTCGTAAACAGCTGAACTGAGCTGAAACGCCGACCGCAAAAGAATCATAACTACTTCTATTTTGCATTTGCCGTTACAGTAAACATGTTTCTAAAGTTTTCCATAAATATTTCAGTTAAGATAAAAGAATATAGATTGATTTCATAGTAAAAGGGACAAATTCAGCGGTTGATTGCTGTCCTGGTGAATTCCCCTTTCTAAGAAATGTCTCGAGCAACTTTTTGGAAAACTCTTCAACAGAAATCTATCTTAAAAATCTATCGGAAAGACAAAAGTCTTCAACTTTTCAAAATATTCTGCTCTTAGCTTATGTTCTGCTATAATTATCGGACCATATAAGTAAGGGTCAAAACGTCACGATTCTGTCCGATTAAGCCGCATTTCGTTGGCATTCATTTCAGTCAGAGGCTCTGGAAATTCTATCATGTCACTCGACTCCAGCCTTCAATAGTAAAGACATAGTCTCAGAGTTTCATAGTTCTGAAACAATCAAGCCCGAGAATCTGACAAGTACTTTCAAAAAGCACTTTTAATGAACTGAAAGAGTGCCAAGAGAATCTCTCATTTTATGTTCTTTTGAAAAATACAAATTGCATTTTTTCTGAAATCTCTTCTCCTGGGTAGACATTAAAAAAATAGTTCCGGAAGTTTTCCCTTTACTTTGGCAAACAACCCAATTGTAGAAAATACGTAAGCTATTTTTTTGTTTTTTTTGTTTTTTTTTGTTTTGATGGTCATATATATGGACCAGACAGCTTAAAACGCTAGAAATGTCTATAAAATATGGTTTTGTCTGGTGCTTGGCAAATTTTTATGTTGCGATTTAGATTCAAACACTTAGGGGAAGCTTATTGCTAAATTTTTGTTTTTACTTTGCCTTTCTATAATTTTCTTTTCACGTCTTTCTTTTTGCCGTCCAGCGGTCTCTCCTCTTATAACCTTTAAACTCTGTGCTCTTTGTTACTAATACTCAGCAGATATGAAGAGGGAAAACTGGGCATTTTATTTATAAACTTGGCGCTTAAACAGAGATTGGGCTTCCAGTCATCACGAATCCGCGAACAAATTCAAAGACCATTTCCTAATTATCTGGTCAGCCTCCTCCCCAAAGAGAGTATTCGTGAGCAATCTTTCGCTTAAAAATGAGTTCAGTCAATTTCGACTGAGCCGTAACACCAAAATTCATGGCAACTTTCTTAATATTTACATTAGTCCAGCCGCGAGTTAGGAATCTTCATGCAGTATTCATGAACAAGTTCTGTGATATATGTTTAACAAAGAGAATGCTAACGTTTTCCTGAGACAGAAGTCCGACTCTGAACATAAAAATTAATGACAGCCAGTCTGACTAGTGAAAGGCAATTGTTTCTATACGGGAACTTTTAAGAATAAAAAAGGCAAACCAAGTTGTGAATATCAATAAAAAGCTTCCAAATACAGCCTCTTGAGTGCTATTATTGTTACTGCTGATACTGATTCCACAGTTTCATACAACAAAAGCGAAATCTAAATTTCGTAAAGACACAGGAAAAGGAAGAAAACATTCTTTTAAAGCCAGCCAGTATGACCACTTCCTCTCCCACGCATGTCAAATGTTTTTTTGCGTGTGTACATTAAAACTCTGTTTGACAATTAAATTTTTTTTTTTATCGTAATCTTTTAGGATGACCTATTTCAGTTTTAGATTATTTGTCTGATTTTCCTTTTTCGGCCTATGGCAGTCATTCAGAATGCTTAAAATTTTGGGGTTTTAGAACAAACGAGCAACGTACGTATGTAAGTTATCATTTAAGGAGTCTGAGAGACCGCATTCTTTTTTTTAAAGTGGTTGTTTCGTTGTTCACAAAAGTATGTAAATTGCCATTACAAAATGAAGCAGGTGGCCTCCAATAAACCAAATATGGAATTTACAGCACATTATGTAGTATTAATTCTGTTTTGTCAGTGAAATCTGCCGTGGGAAACATCGATTTAAATAAAGTTCGCGCGTGAAACAAAAATTTCAGTTTATCAGTTGTTTCCGTTTTTAACTACGTCCCATCGAGAGTTATCTAATTGTAATAATAAACCACACTGGCGTGAATTCAACTCATCATATGATACCTATTTTAAGTGATTTCACACAAGTCTTCAATAGAAGCATATTATTGAAAATAACACCGCTCGTCTCAAAAAAAAAATTGAAAAATGTAAATGGATACTTGAAAACGATGGACGCACAGAATCTTACCACGGGGGAACTTCTTACACACGACTTTCCCCTTGGTCCTTATTCCAGTTACAAAAAAGCTTTTTCATGTGCGTTTTAATGTCATTCTTACAAAACGCATAAACAACAGGATTCGCAGCGGAATTCAAAACAAGAAGAACATTAAGAATCTGACCAGCTTTGCCCGGAACTTTGCAAGAAAATGTGAAGCATAAAATTAAGTAATTTACAAGTGCATAACATCCTAGGAAGAACACGACTATGGCCACTACGAAGCCAGCTGCGTTGGATCTTTTGCGTTTACGAACTGTTCCTGTAACTTCACTAGATTGGTTAGACTGAAGTTGTAGTTGAATCGCGTTAGATATTTTGGCTTGGGCGCGAGCTACAACTAAGATACGAACCACAGCATAAAGAAGCAGCATGCAGGATATCATGTCAAAGACAGAGACGCCTGTTAGACGTAGAATTTTCCATGCAGTTGTGGAGTCTGTTGCGTACATCCCCACCAATAGTGATAGTGAAATCGCAAAGGGAATCAACCAAGCTGCTGTGATGACCAATCCAGGGTGTCTTTTGGTTATGAAGTTAGTATACCTAAAAGGGTGAACTATGGCGATATAGCGATCCCAAGTCAATGTACAGAGATTGGTAACTGACGAGTGAAGAAAGAACCAAAACATTGGCGTGGTCACGAAGGAGTCGCACTTTATTTTCTCGATACAAAGATATTGTAACGGAAAGACGGCAAATCCGATCGTTAAGTCGGCCACTGCCAAGGAAAGGACGAACCAATTTGCCGAGGAATGAAGTTGACGATTCTTGGAGACAAGGCCGACTACAAATCCGTTTCCCACAATAGTTACGACGGAAAGTAACCAGCCAAGAATATTGAGCCAAAAAACCATTTCGATAGTTTCGCAAATAGCTGAGATTTTTGAAGCCGATCCTCAGAGCTTGTATAAATATGATAATGAGTTTGATATACCAACCAATCGTCAGCTGCGGGTTTATTGAACGCAACCACAGTTATCAGAATGTCCTCCGAGGTCTCGTCTAGAAAACTGGCATTTTAATGCTGTTGCATTGTTATCTCTTAATTTGCATCCTGATTTCTTTTTCAGCCTCTCAACAATTTGAATGTAAAGGTTATCTTAAGAAGACATGAGCCGATAAATAATTCAGTGCTCTTTCTATATCAAAACTATCAGTAACGTGGAGTTATTGGTAACATGGACACTGTGTCGTTTCATTTGGGGTTTAGAAAATTACAGGGTCAACAGTTTCACATGATGATCACCAACTATTAGTTATCAGTCACGCGATTCGGTGTTTATCGGCCGAGAGACTTCTCTGTACGGCAACAAAAAAAATATAGACGATGTTACATTGTAAAATTAACACTAGGAGTAGGTTAACACCTCCTGGAGCTTCTCATTTTCTTTCAGCACTCTCCATAAATGGAGTTGTTTCTCATGTAGAGAGTAAAAAAAAAGCAATTATCTTTACTTTTAATCCTTGGCAATTGTCACAGATCGACTTACACTTCCTAGGGTACACGAAGCCCGTAAACGTTATTTCATCATGCCAGCTGATGGCGTGATTGTCATGTGACAGTTCAATTTATCTCATGCGATATAGGGAACATTGCATGAAAAGGCGAAAAAGCAAATGCGTTTAAAATACATCGAGCAACGCTTTTTTTTAACAAAATCGTTTACCAATGTACGAAGCAGCTGCTGATAAAAGAGCAAATCATTTCGAAAAAACCGGAAAATAATCATTTTCAGTGAGAGCTTATGTATTATATACCACGTTGATCCTTTGAAGTTCTAGGCCAAGTTGTTGCAAGGTATCGTGCCGTTTTCATCTACCCCCTGGCATTTGAACAGATGCCCTATTCCGGTACTTAAAAAGCTGGCTTTGAATTAATGTTAATACGCCTAGGAGGCCGCTTTTTTTTTAATTAAGGGCAAGTCTTCGTTTACAGGACACAGCGTCATTCACCTGTGATTCGTATGTCCGAGAACTCAATATTTTTATCTGCTTTGACACTTGAAATATTAACTGTGAGGTTGAGAAATGTTTAATGTTACAACATCAGAATACATGATTAATAAAGCGTCACTTCAAGATAACGAACTCCGACAACTTTTCTTTTTTTGACACTTGAATCCTTCTAGTAATCAATCGAAATGAGACTGTGAAGTGTATGGATGGCAAGCGCGTAAGGAGTAAGAGCATTTTTCAGTAGTGTGTGTTTTTTATTCACAAACCTTCAAGATGCTAAAAAAAAAACTTGGACAACTCAAGAATTTTTGAGTCATAGCGAAACTCAGTTATCGCACGCGCTTCGAGTAAAGCAATAGAAACATTGTTACTCGCAGTAAATACAGTCAGTAATCTGAAATAAAATGAAAATAAATCAGTGAAACTTGAACCAAAACGGTATAATCTGACTGTCGCATGAGTGACCAGCAAAGGTGTCCTAGATATTTCGAATATTTTCAAGGCTCCTCTAACAGCCTACATATAATCCAGTAGCATTAAGCTTAAGTTAACCGAACCCATTCTTATAAAGAAGGGGACGAAAGTAGAGCTGCAAGAGGAAGAAGGATTCGCTAATATTGCATTTGCTTTGTTAGGAATGATTTGACTTTTATCAGTAAGTGGTCGGAAATTTTGAAAGCCTCTGTCTACGACTGGTGTTTTTATGGCCAGAGAAGCTCAGAGAAGTGAAGCGCCATTTTCTACTAGAAGAGTACTGCGCCTTATCATTTTCTTTCCTTTTTCATAAGTGGCATTTATCCTCACCGGAAAAATAGAGCAATTCCAAGAGCAGAATGAGAAACAATTATCATAAACAAGGTCGAAAGACCACACTAACCGAGGAAACTTTCCTAATCAAAATCCGCCCCAATTAATTGCATGTGGCGCCTAAGATTTGCACGTCCAGGGTTGTCCAACAATTCACAGCATCGGTGTTTATAATTTGGAGAATTTGCTAGATTTCAAGTTTAAATAAGGTTCCCACCACTTTTTAAATCCTCATGGGGAATTTTTTGAAAAGCGGTGACGAAGTAAGAGAGTAAGGAGAACATTGAAGGAGATGTAATCATTTCACCTGCTACATTTTGAATTATCAGCCATTGCGCTTGGTGAAAGAACAGTCACTTTCTGTATGTAGATTACGTTTTTGTACAGCATAGGCGCAAGTCGAAAACAGCATTTAAAGAGTGATATCTTAAGAATAAATTATAGAGGTCTCAAACGAAGAAAAAACCGACAAAGGTATACCTTAACTTGAGAAAACTCAAGTTTAAATATTTGAATTCCCTATGTACATATTTGCGAAAAAGGCGTCATATCAAAATTAAAATTAGAACTGCAGACTAGCAATTCATGATCGATAAAGTCGCCTTTTTGAGGCATTCTGTATTGATGGAAATTTTCTGCTGCCAAGAAAGTGTAATGAAAAAATAATTAATGAGTAATTGTCTTCTATGTGCCATGATAAAAACAGTAACTTTCATTACGTAGATTATTTTTCTGTGAAACATAGGCGCAAGTTGAAAAAAAACATTTAAGGAGTAATATCTTAGAAATAAATTCTAGAGACTTCAAACGGAGAAAATACCCACAAAGGTATACCTTTACGTACGTAATTATGAAAAAGGCGTCATATCAAAATTAGATTTAGAACTGCAGACTAGCAATTCATGATATAGTTGCCTTTTTAAGGCGTTCTTTATTAATGGAAATTTGCTGTTGTTATAAGAATGTGTAAAGAAAAAATGTTTATAGTACTTACTAGTTTTTTGAAATTTTTTCCTCCCGTGAGATCCGTTGTGTTTTTTTCATCTCGTCGATGACAGCAACATTGCAGTTTGATGTGGCTGGCGCTTTTACTCACCCAAAGAGCGGACATTTCCGCTAAATCGGGACATGTTTTATTGAATTTGTAGTGAAATGTTTGTCAAAGTATAAGCAAAGTGCTCCAGTTGTCAAGAAAAAAGGAGAGATCTTAATAGAATCGGTACCGTGCCAGCAATATAATATTCACAAAACATAGTTAAGTAATAAATGAAGACATGCAGCGTGCATAATTATTTTTTGCCAGTCTTCAATTAATCAAGATTTTACCTTTTTGTGACGGTATATGTATATGAAGGTGTGTAGTATATGGTCATTCTCGGGCCCGTTTGGTAGCAATGGGCAATGTTGTGAAAAATAAAGATAACATTTTTTTAATGATAGATTTTTTTCTTTAAAGGGTCACTACACTTCTAGTGGGGTTCATACTTCTTTGAGGAAAGCTAACATGCATGTACATTGCTTGAAGCAGAGTTCCCTTCATCTCTAGTTTGCTAAAGAATTGCTTGGACTTTACAAGTAGCCAAAAAATATTTTCACCTTCCTTAGGCTAATCGAAAAAAAAAACAAAACAAAACAAAAAACTGAACGGACTACAACGTGCTTAATCCTTTTTGTCGTGACATGTATGAGCTACTTATACTTACGGAAGTGGTACATCCGTTTACATATCGAGCTGATTGTTGATCGTAAAAGTCCGGAGTCAATCAAAATTTTTTTCCATGAAAGCTTCTGCATGACAACAAATTTTGTAAGCGAGTGTGTGCATTACTCAGATGTGAGTCACGACAGAGAACAGAAGATACTCAACGGGTCTCTATACACAATCTCCAAGGTATATTTTTCCGAGATGGAAATTAATATTTCAATATAAAAATCTCTATCTTCTATTGAAAATCACTCTGAAAGATAATAAGTTAGACCAAGGTTTTCCGTTTTAGTAGTGCGATTGCATCCAAAGCCATTCTCTTTTGGTGATTTACTGAAATATTAATATATCATTGAGACTGGATTACGAAGCGAACTACTGCTCGCCTTTTACAGACTGTTTTGAGCGAGAACTAATATGGGAACACTTGATGAACTGGCTCAGATCTAGTCTTCTTACGTAACATATGAATTAGAACGAGCCTTAAAGGCGAAGTTCTCGATTTTTTTCCCTTCGCGTTTGATAGATCAGGGTTGGATCTAAACAATAATTAAAAATGCAAAAAAAAAAAAAAATTGGAGCTGACAATTAAACTCCATTGTACAATTACGTTTGCGAAAAGTATGGGGAGCATTTAAGCGTCAAGAATCTTATCTGTAGCCATCAGGTTGGAACAGGAATCATTAAAACTTTTCTGGTTATTATCCAATCAGTGGTAATTGAATTTAAAGACACCTTTTCATGCTTAAAATTATCATCGCAATTTTGAATGGGAAAAGAAAACAAACATTTCGAGCACCAATACTCAAATAATGATCTAAACATTTTCTAGTTATTTTTGGAAATGAATTTTTTAAATTGATCTCGCTTTCGCGGATCTAGTTTACACCGATAACTAAGTAATTGTTTTTTATCCTGATATTGAATATCTTTTTTTTTTAAGATTTAGACGCTTAAGGGTGCGTTTCTTTATTAAAATCCAAAACTAGTTCGCCATCTGTATTTGAATAGAGGCACTCAAGAATTCCAGGGATTCAAAGAAAGATCGACAGTTGTTTCCTTATCTTAGCTGCTGTCTCACACCACTTAGATGTGGCAAGGTTGTCAAGAACAGGAGAGGCATGCTGAGACGTAAGGAAATGACTACGGAAGTCATTTGCACTGTACCTTGGAGATTTTTATCAAAGTACAGCTTATTTGAAACTGTCTTTTTTGCCTTCGGCTAATGAGGAAAACTGAAAAGAGCTCGTCTTCGTTTGGCATGTTAATTGAAATTTCGCTGAGGCAATCTCCGAGAATGAAATCAATCGGAAAACAATAAACTTAGACGGCGGTGTTCTCGGCGGCCATCTTTTTCGCTGGGATACCGTTCGTATCGTAGCTTGGGTTTAGAAGATAATAAGCTCTCTTGAGACATCATTCCTTTTCTCAGCGAAAAATCCTAATGATCCGGATTTTTTGTCTGGTCTCGGATTTAAATAAAGAAACGCACCCTAATTAGTTTTTCGTTTAGTTGCCTTACGAATAAACTGGTATTAGGACCATTTTACGAACCGGAAATACTGGAAGTATAGGAATAAATATCTTTGGCCCAACAACGGTTCAATTCAATCAGAGTTTTTCAAAGGCTGTTTACTTGCGATCTATAAACAACTGGAAGCCCAGATACTACGAATAATACCTATTTAACAAGGCTCTTCTATATCGAATTTACAGCATAAATGATATTACGAAACGAAAGTCCATGGCAGAAATATGATCTAAATAATCGATAACTCGCTCAGAGAAAGAAACATTATTTTCTGACCACCGGCAGGTGTCAAAGAGGTTTATCTGCGCCGGGTGTTTCATCGTCGATTTTAAGTTGCAGCGTTTAAAAAATCCCGGTGGACCGGTGGTTCGAATACTTTCAAATGAAGGTTAGTAGGCGAAGAATTATTATAACCCTTGAGTTCATTACGTTGACGACAAAGGGGAACTCTCCAATGTAAACCTCAGCAGTTCTCTGTTGATTTAGTTTCCTTTGTTGAAAACTTCTCTTATTTTTCTTTTGATGTCTTTCTTTAAAAAAGCGTAGACAAGTGGATTCACCGCGGAGTTAAGAACAAAGAGTAAATTGAGGACCTGTCCAGCTTTCTTTGAGGATTTCTCAGAGAGGTTGCAAGCCCGGAAACTGAGGCACAAGATCAAACAGTTTGCCACAACGTAACATCCCAGGAAAAACAAGATAAGAGCAATAATAAAGCGAGCGGTGTTGTGTTTCCTATGTCTACGAATTGCCACATTCTCTCCTTCAGCTATGGAAGAGTGGCCAGACTGAAGCTGTAGTTCGATGGCAGTTGACCGGTGTGACTGAGCACGAGCCACCTTTAAGATCCGAGCAACAGCATACAAGAGGAGCATGCAGGATATCAAGTCGAAGGCAGAGACACCCGTCAATCGTAGAACTTTCCGTGCAGTCTCGGAAGTTGTAATGTACATTCCGACAAAAAGTGCGAGCGAAATTATAAATGGAGTTAACCATGCTATCATGATAACTTTATCGGGTCGTCTATTGGTTATAGATGCAATGTATTTGAAAGGGTAAACAATGGCGACATAGCGATCCCGGGTCAATGCGCAAAGATTTGTGACCGAAGCGTGAATAGCAAACCAAAAAAGTGCCATTTCTATCTCTTGGTTGCACGCCATTAGTTTGTTACAAATATACCCCGATGGAAAGACGATCAGTGCAACCACAAAATCTGCCACTGCCAGAGAAAGAACAAACCAGTTGGCAGAGGAATGAAGTCGACGATTTTTTGCGATAAGAACGACTACAAAGCAGTTTCCTGTCGCTGTGGCGGCTGAAAGAGACCATCCAATGGAACCGAGAAAAGCCTCCATTTGAAACGCTGGAAAAATTGCTCCTACAGCAACCTGAAGACCAAAGTTGAACGACGAGTTCTTACCTGTGTTTGAATCTATAGGATTATAATGTTGATAATAACATCTTAAATATGTTTAGTGAGGAATACAACGGCGAAGAACGAGGGACTGACTATTGATGTTTTTCTCTTCCTCTAAGAGGTTCATATCAGGAAATGCGTTTGCAAGGCGGATGGCGGCTAAGTACACTAAAACTTCATTGAAATGCAAATAAGTAGGGTCAATCGAACGTCGTAAGTCGCTTTTGATATTTACTTAGAGCAGTGCTTCGTTAGTGAATCGACTGGAGGTTTTTTATTGTGGCGTAACCATTCTAATCGACCATGGAAATTTTTTCAGCTGCATCAAGTAAGGACAAAATAAAACCACGAACGAATGTCGAAAAAAATCAACACAAATACTAATTACTTAAGCTGAAATTAATACTAACGAAATGCAGACTGTTTATGTCCTTTGTGGAGGAAATTGTCTATTTAGTACAAAACATTTTCATTTCAAAGCTGCTCAAGGTTTCTTTGATGGCCCGCTGCGGTCACTCAGTGAAAAATGTTACGGAAAAAATTCGACGCCTTTATTGACCGTGTGATGCCATGACAAAGAGAATATCATCCTGTCTTCACCCAATCTTTAATTTAAAGCACAATGTTTTTTTTTTGGATCAAAAACTTACGATATTTGTAAGGAGCACTGCCGACTGTCATCAATTACATCTTTAGGACAATATCCGTCTGGCATTGTTTGTCAAGCTTTCCTTCATTTCGGAAGAATAATTTAAAAAACAATATTGTTTACCCCTTGTTTTACAATAGAAAGAAAAAGTGTCACCTGCTTGGTTTGCGAAATATCCGTCATAGCCAAAATATAGGTGCGATATTGGTTGCTTAGTGTCTTAACGATGTAACTCCCCGACAAAAAATAAAATCTACAAGACTATATATCTTTTTAAATGTTCTTCTTAAAAGAAAAAAAAAAAAAAAGAAGTTCACTGACACCCCAACATGTAGATATGATGACATGATTTGTCGTAGAAGTCAACTTTTTCCCCCAGCAAGCGCTGTGATGTTTTCATCATTAATTTAAGATACCTATCCTAGCAAACACTCTTTTGTTTTTTATGTGCTTATTCCGCGATGGTTTAACGAAAAAAAGGAATCGCTTTCAAAAGCGTTTCGAGCGGACGCAGACGTGTTTCTGCGTCATATGTTACTAAGGAACTCAAGGCATAAGGTGTTTATAGTAATATGGTGCGCTTGACATAAAACTGTACACAATATCATCACAAGTTATCTTGTTTGTCTTGTTTATCTTCTGACTGTGCCGACTGAAGCAAAAAAATCAGATGTATTTAAAATACTTAATTCGTTATAATTTTGATGACAGATTTCTGAATAAAATAATTATCAATTATTTCTCGTTAGTTTGCTTTTCAGCATTTTCGGCATTGGCAGACATGCGAGCAATTTTGGTAAAATTTGCTGAATGAAATTGCTCAGACACAATTTATTAAATATTTATAGGACATCGTTTTATTGCCGGTTACGCTGTTCACCTTTAGTTACTTTGCACACGATTTTCTCCACAACTTTCTTCGTTACCGTCCTGTTTAAAACAGAGGTTTAATAAAAAATTTAAAACTGAGAACAAACAACTGAGGCCATGCACTTTTTATCGAGCAGTTGGAAAGTTAGATTGTGATAAACATCACTGAATTATTTATTCACCACCAGCTAGCAAACCAAGAAAAAAAAAAACAGAAAAATGTGTCCTCTTAGAGAGAACCTTTCCAGTAATGTATGATACTCGTTGTAACGCTTTGCCGTGTTTCATTCAGTGGGTTAGATTAGTTGAAAACGTTACTATAATTTAGAGTCAATGACATAAAAGACATGCATGGTATAAATTACATATTTGAGTGCCCGAAGGATCCTTTGATTGCTCTCCTTTAAACGCTAATTTTGCTGAGCTTTACAGTTGATGATCAGTACACGGAAAACTTGAAGACTGAACCAAAACAAATACAACAAAAACGGAGCCATTGTTAAGACTCAATAGGCCCTCAGGTGACTTGGCTGTGCATCAGTAATGAGTAACCTTTCTGTGTAAGTACTTGGAGTCAGAAAAGCAATCAGCCTAACATTGTGCGAGGACAATCTTTACTTTTCAGCCATCCATTAAAGATAACGCTTCTCTTAAGTAGGAGTTTGTTCGCAAAGTTTCCTCTCTAAGCTAAGCAAGAGCATACAAAGTTAATCATTCTTGTTTGGTGAAGTTACAAAGAAACACCCCAATCAAGCTTTACTGGAAAATGACAAACACAACTGATGTGGAGGTAAAGGTAAGCTTTCAGCAATGGTTGAGTTCTTAACCGTACTAGCTTAAGGGCTTAGATTTCCCGTAAAATGTTCCTTACAAGGACTTTTATTAAGCTTGTTGCCCATTGTGAATGTGAATAAAAACGTGATTGGTGGTTTGATTTCATGCCCGATCCTGATCAAACTTTGTCGATATCAAACTGATATGACTCCACAGCTGTGTTGATTTTTTTGACTATGGGCACAAGCATGAACAAAATCGTTCGAGATATACTTTAGCGCCACACATTTTCTCATCAAGCAAACGTGTTCAGTGTTGTGTTTTTTTCAAATTGAAGCGTTGATAGTTTTAAATCATTTGGTATCCAGTGGAAACTTACTCACTTTTCAAAGAATGCATACGCATCTTTTTTGGAAAAAACATTTTCCAACCATCGTTAAATTTTCATGCAATGACAATTTGTAAACGTTTGCTTACCTGAGCAAACTTATTCACTATTCAAAGATTATTGCATCTTTTTTCCATCCCCGTAGTTACGAAATAGATTAAAAAACATTAACATTATGCAAAATCGAACACGCATTTGCCGGTACTTCATTTGAGTAACGTGTGCAAATTTCAAGAAAATGTGGTCTTTACGATTTTTGCTTTCAGAGATGTATAGATATAAATTTAAAAAGATGATGATCTTAATAGTCCTTAGTGAAACTGACAAAAGTAAAACAAAAAAAATAAACAAAAAAGGCATTTCATGAAAATTTGCCATCCATCCCCCTCAACATTTTGGTTCAGTATTAAATGTGTTAAATTCGCTGAGTGAGCTGACCTCATATTAAGCAGTTAAAAATCCTACGGAAGTGTAAGATTATCATAGCAATCTTACTGTATTAAAGATTAATTTATGTTTAAACAATGAAGCTTTACATTACCTATTAAGTCTGAGACTTATAAATTCATTTTCTTAAATTTGAACTCCACGGCGATAGAAAAGTCATTGCTGACCGGCATTTTGACGTCGGTTTGTAAACTTTTTACATAATCTGCACTGATCAATGATTATCTAAGGAAACATATCGCAAAAAAGGGCTTTTGGGGGTAGATTTTTTACCTATGCAAGAATGAAAATCTGTGGCAATAACTGCCTTTCGTAATATCGGAACTGAATTAACATACTGCTTAATATTTCGTATCATTTGTCCTTTTATTTCTTCAGTGTTTGGAAGAGCTTTTGGCCTGATACCTGATACCTTTACCAACTGTTGACAAGGATGCATGACTGACTTTAATAACGATGTCAGTGGTTGCAATTATATTTATTTCACTCGCAAAATCTACCTAGGGACTAAAAAGTATGAATAACTAAATTGAAACAGACAGAAGCTTCTGGCTAACATAATTTTGTTTGTGGGGTTTCTCTCCTCCCTTACCTTTTGTGATCATTATTTGTACCATCGGCATACCGCCCATGTTCTTTCATTAACATCAGTCTGCTTTACTCAGACTGAAAGAGGAGACGTCGCAGGATAAGGCGTCCAGTGGCGATCATGAATTGAAAAGGTCAACCGAAAAAAAAAAAATCTTGACTGCGTCATATGGACCAAAATATTTGTGAACATTTCAGTAATTGTTAAATGAAGATTTCATTTCTGCTGTTAAACAAAGATATTCCATTTCGTCTTGTTTCTGCTCAGTTCAAGATCACATTCGGCGTCAAATGAGCCTTAAAGCAAAAGCAGGCTGCCTCACCTGAGTGTGAGTCATCGATGAAGTCGAATCTATGTGTCATATAAAATAGGCAGAAAAGCGAAATAGGTCGCAAACTTACCTCAGATCAATTGTGTCAGTTTAGGTACTATTTAAGTCAGCAAGAGTTCTTTTTGAATCGGTTTCCTGTTTTTAGAGGGAGCCAACAGCTCGTGGTTTTCGCTATAGCCTTTCTTTGTGCGATGAATCCGTCAAACGCTTTTAATTTGATAGCTGATAGTCAACAGCCAATCAAAGATAATGCGTGTCTCGGTTTATATTCCATTCAAATCAATCGTGCACCTGCACAACACAAAGGTAAAATTGCAGACTGGGCAAAGTCTGGATGATAGATAAGGAGACTGCGCTTCATCTTTAGCCAGCTAGCGGTGTTTTATTGTGACATATGAAGAACACAGTCTAATACCCCATTCACACCAGCAAAACATGTTTTGTTAAACTGGTTTTCATTGAATGAAAATTATAAACAGAGAACTGAAAAACTTGATTTTCCATTGGATTCAAGTACTTGCTAACTTGCATTTCCAATGTGCTACATTCAAGTCAAAAATATTCGGTTAAATAGTTTCTATGAAGAAAAAAAAAATTAAACTGTGTTTAACAAAACAACTTTTAAACATGTTTAAGCTTTGGTGTGAATGGGGCATAAGATACGTAAACTGTGGTCTCCTTATTAAATGAAAACATTCAAACCACGGGGCCTAATTGAAAGGTTAATTATTATTATCATTTTATCTGGACTGAAATGCAAGTATTTTGCAATTCGTTCGCTATCTTAAGATTTTATTTTTATACCTATCACGATAGAACTAGGCACAAACCTTTTACACATTTGCTTAGGTCAGATCCGTGTCTCTAATTAGTTTACAGATTCAAGTTAAACATAATTGCAAATGTTATCGGTGCGGTCAACAAAAAGGAACCATCTCTTCCAAAAACAGCTTTGTTTCTCGCCCCCTACTGATTACCCTCATGCCAGTTTTGTTTGCATAAGGCCGGGTCGCATTACAGACGATTTTGCGGAAAATTGTTTTGTCGAGGGACTAAAATCTGTCAACACACCTGTTTTCTAATGCGACCCCTCATTTTTGATTTTTCAAACATTTCAAAATCGGGAAAAAAACATCAAAGATGCCGGCGTGCTTGGGTGAGGCTGACCAATTTTTTTCCAAATCTCGAAAAACCAAAAGAGCCCGCCGCCAAAGCTGTCAACAGTTGAAAAGAATGACTCCCCATATAGACGGCAAGGTCACGAAAGTGAGAAAGAGCGCGAAATTTCATCACTCATGACTGACTCTTTCATTGCGTGTAGTTCGAAGCTACAGCATGGACGGGCGAGATTTCCCCTTTCCTTACTACGGCCATCAAATGCCAAGAAGTGAGCAGTATTCCTTCCTTCAAGAGCTAGGCAACACACCCCCAATTTGGCCTGTTGTGAGAGCGGAACGAAGGAAACCTGAGAGTCACTGTTACCCTAATCGGCCGCATGGCTAGTGCGTGACTGAACACAATTTCACCGCTCAAATTTCCCCTGTGTGACTGACGCTTGCATTTTCACTTGTTGAAATGCGACCGTAAGAGCTCAAATTATTTTTTATTTCTGGTCTAATGCAATTTGATTTTCTAGCCGATTTTTTCAAGACAAAATAAAAATTGGTCTGTAATACGACCCGGCCCTAACGCAATTAGTAGTATTACTTGTCTTCCTGGACGGGATGTTAAACAAACATCTCAATAACTCGCATTTAACTCTTGACTAATTTAATAAGTTTCCCGCGCGTTCCTGGCTGGAGAGTGGAAATGCGAGAGTCATGAGTCTTGAGAAGAGAATGCAACTTGGAATAAAATGACCCAGCCAAGAACTCGATTTAGCCCTTTCGATCCAAGTTCAGCGCTTTAAGCACCAGAGTATCCCATCTCCCAAAATTAAAGTCAAATATTAATACTAAATATTAATGGTGCGTCTTTAACAACAACACTGAGAGGACCTTTAGAAAAGGTACATTTGTTTATCTCTACCTTTCCTATGATAATTGTAAAATCATTTCAACGTCAATTTTTAATTTCGAGCAGTGATGTGCTGAACATAAAAGACGTATCTTTAGATTTGCCTTGGCTGATTATTGTTTGTCGTATGCATTGTTTCTAAGCAAACAATTGTGAAACTTTGGCGCGTTGTGTCAGGATTTAAAAACATACTCTACAAAAAGTTCTGTTCTTTCTTCCCTTTTGACGGGTCAAAGGGAAAATTGTTATTCATTGGCTGTATATTCATACTCCTGTTCTATCCCACTTGACAAATAACATGAGATTCTTAAAAAAAAGTTTCAAATTCCTGTTACTACTCATGCTCGCCATGGTTACGCTTGTCACCGAAGGTTTTTTCGCAAATGAGAATTTTTATTTTCTTTTTAATGTCTTTCTTTAAAAGAGCATAAACCATGGGGTTCACCATAGAGTTTAGAACCAGAAGTAAACTAACAACCTGCCCTGCTCTGTCAGACACATTGCAAGAAGGTATGGTGAGGCATACTATGAGATAATTTACAACGGTATGACATCCCAAGAAAAATACATTAACAGCAATTATAAATCCTGCAGCTGTCTCGTTCTTGTTACTTCTGCGTAAGGTCAAGCCAAAGTTAGATCTAAGTTGTCGTTCCATAAGAGATTTCTGTCGCGATTGTGCTCGTGCAACAAGTAGGATACGAACAACAGCATAAAGAAGAAACATACATAATATTATGTAGAAAGCTGAGACACAGGTCAACCGCATAATTTTGTGAACAGTAGTGGAGCTTGTTGCGAACATGCCCAAAACAAGGGCCAATGAAACTGCCAGAGGAATCAACCATGCAACTAAGATAGTCATACGAGGCCGTTTTACGGTCATTGAAGTATTGTATTTGAATGGATGAACGATGGCGAGGTAGCGATTCCAAGTTAATGCGCAAAGATTTGTGACTGAGGCGTGCATGACAAACCAGTATAAAGCCATCCAAAATATCATGACTATCCTGTTGCAATGTGTTGTGTTTACACAGTAATAACCCGATGGAAAGAGGACGGCACCGACTGTAAAATCAGCAACTGCTAAGGAGACGACAAACCAGTTGGCCGGCGAATGTAGATTGCGAGTTTTGGTGATAAGGAAAACTACTAAACCATTTCCAGTTGCTGTAAAAATAGAGAGAAACCAACCAGTAAAATTCAAAATGTTATCTGTCATTTCAAAACTGCCAGGGTTGTATTTCAAAGCGCAAGAAGAGTATTAAAAGCGTTGCGAACGGAAGAAAGTTCAGAAGAAAGGTGTCGGGGAGAGGACGATACGATCGATGTGTTTTCAGGCCTAACAAGGTGTTTTCCACAACTCCTTTGTTATCAGTTTGCCCTGCGAAAGTTTGGGTCGACCACCTGGTTTTGATAGATTGTTCAGTACGTTTAACTGTCGTTATTCAGCTCACGCACAGTTAAAAGGCGCCATAAAGGGTGTTCTCTGCCTCAATGTTCTCTGTCTTTAGACCTAAGGCCGTTGTTGACTAAGGTTACGGGTAAGGTGACGTTCGCTCTCTAATTAAAGAACCTTATTATGTGCATTAATCATCATCTAACAAAGGACTATCGCCCATATGAATTGGGTTCCAAATTGTGGGTCACGTCTGGTTGAAATTTAAATTCGAAGAAAACTGAAAATTGGTTCAATCTAGACTGCTGGCAGAGACCATTAAGTACGACTGAAAATAACGTACCCGAGGACAAGACAAAAAAAATTGAGGTGACTTCTTATTTATCGATGAATAAACAAAACGCATACAAAGGTTAACGGTTTTGTATGGGTGATGCAGCTGTTCTTTTTGTCTTGGGTTTACAGCCGTTCGGTTAGTTCGGCAGGACCTTCGTTCGATAATCGACAGTCATCTTTAACATCTTCTTGAATATATCAAGAGGGTTAAAACGAAGCAAATCGTCTGCTGTGGGTCCTGTAAAACCTTGAGGAAACAATGACCTTAAATCCTAAGATCCTCCTTTGTCAGCAAACAATAAAATAATAGTCGACAATTTTCCTAATTGTTCGTTTTCTATCTTCTACTTTAGCATTGACGCCATAATGGGAGTTTTCGTACTTACAATGCTGCTTGTTAAGCAGAACTGCTTTGAATAAAACTGAAGTGATTTTCGGGATGTGGGCCTTTTTGTCAATTCGTCGAGATTAATTATGCAGTTTTGAATATCTGCAAGCTTAGCACAGTAATCACTTGTATGAAATGGACACCATAGCCGTTGACTGGATTTAGTTAGGTATCGTTGTTAATAAAGTAAGAAACCTTTACTTCAATAGGATAGCTCCTTCAGTTGTTGCACAAGATAAGGACTGCTATCCATAGCGGCCCTACATATATGAAAACTAAATTGACTTGAAATATTAGTGAATATTAACGGTACCTGTCGTGTACATGTTTATGTTTTTCCTGAGTCGGGCTAATATTGCTAATCTCTTTCTAACCTTACCGATCAAGTGTTCAACGTGCGCATTCCACGTAAGCGATGCATCGAGAACAACTCCAAGATATTTATACTCAGAAGCGCTACTAAGTGCTTTTTAATCAATAACTACAGAGAAAGAAGTAGAAAGTGCCAGCCTGGGGCCAATGCCAAATAACAGACACTCCGTTTTGCTCTTATGCATAAACAAATCATTATCTTTGAGCCATTTATTTACCAGTGCCAATTCGTTTGTCAAAGTGTTCACTATTCCTTGAGAATCAAAATTTGGCATTCAGTTAAAACCTTGGAGAGATCATTTATAAACAAAACAAACAATATCGGACCTAAAATTGATCCTTGGGGGCGTAATTAGACTATAATCAGGGGTCTCTTTGCCAACGCTAACAACAATTGCGTATTAAGATATCAATTAATTTACAATTTTGTAAAAGTAAGCGACCAATGAGGTTTTATTAAATTCTGCTGTTTGCTACAATTGACGAAATCTACCGAAACTTCCCACGCACCTCAATATAATAACTGTAACCACAAAAACACTCCTAAAAGTATTTCTGAATTGCACTGGGATTATTAACCCTTACGCTCCAAAGATCTCAAAAGCAATTCTCCTTACCGTTTGTCCTACAATTCGTAATAAGTAACTTTGGAGAATTTGGTATTGGATCAACTAATATTCCAATTATTGATAATTTTTTTTTAGTCTTATAACTTTTCTTTTTTATGTAGTGTTAATTTTGTAAGGAGAAATCATGTCTTGGTCACTCACGAGAGTTAAGGGGTTAATGTGGTAGCCTGTAAGCGCTGGCGGACCTGGGTCTTTTGCATCGAATCAACTGCAACATGGAGCGGTGGAAGTCTTTGTTCCTGAGAGAGTAAACTATAGGATTGATAACGCCATTACTACAAGTCAGCCACACACTAACAACCCCAAGTTGTCCTACAACACAGGACTGACTACCGATAGCATAAAAAATTTCCAAAATTAAAACTGGCATCCACACAATGACCAGAAACATAAACACAAAGGCAACAGTTTTTGCCATTTTAACTTCAAGTCTAGTTTCCGTGACGGTATCAGAACTAGTGGCAGTTCCGGGATGTACCTGACCGCGTGACAAGAGTTGTTGTCGGTTCTCCACTGCCTTCTTGTATATTTTGTAGTAAAATGCACTAATCAAAAGCAGTGGAAGAACTATGTGCATGGCCAAGAACGCGTAATAAAATTTGAAATTAACGTTCCATTCATATGTTTCTTCCGTAATTGGCTCAAAGGCAAAAAGACCCATTAATACTACGATAGTTACATCGTAGATCCAGACTAATCCAACGATCACAAATGTTCTCCGCCATGAAGCAATATCCCTGTATCGTACCACGGACATCACTGCTCTGTAGCGGTCTACTGTGATAACTAGCAGGGTGATGAAAGAACCTGCTATTGAGAATAGCCATACAGAGTTAAGAAAATTTGTTCCTGTGGAGCCAAGTGGCCACTTTGGGTACGACCATACATATGTCATCTCTAGTGGTATCAATCCGATTGAGATACTAATGTCTGTCAACGCCAAACTCAAAAGATAGCCGTTTGAAGGTCTGCGTAATTTTTTGTCGATGCTAATCACGATGGTCACCAAAACATTCTCGGATAAAGACAGCAAAAATGTCGCAACAAACAGAATGGATATGGGAATCCGAAAACTTAACTCGAATATGCACGCTTCTGTGTCGGCAGTTTCGTTCGTCGAGTCATTCATCGTCCGCATCGAATTTTCTTCCGCAAGAGCAGCTGGAAAGATAACATTAGGTAAACATTCTTGACCTGATATCGTAAATGTGAAAGAAATACCATTACATATCGCGAATTTTTAAGATTAAGAGAGGCTAAGATCTGTAATAGCTTTCAACGGCAAGATTGTTTCACTTTCCGTTGCTCATGCAAAGTGCCCGTTGACTTCCGCTATTTCTCAGAAGGATATTAATAGAACTCTTTCCGCCTCAGAAGAAATATCTATCAGTTGTTGTCACGGTTTGCGGAAGTATTCACTTCAGGAGAGCAGTTCCCGCATAAAAGCAGAGTATTATAATGGGACACTTCTCCCAATTAACTAATGACAAATACCTGTAAAATGTCACGTTTCGTTAATAAAAAATAGAACAGAACCTGTGTGACATACTCTAGTGTGACAATACTTTACGCATGGCGCAAAATTTTATGACTTGTGAATACATTTGTTTATTACTGTAGAATACGAAATTTGTAGTGAAACCAAAAGTTCACGTGGATGACTCACATAATGATGGTGTTAACGTTTATTTAATTTGATAGAAAAAATTGTTAAAGAGTAAATTTTAACGACCTCGTGGACCAAAATACTTGTTCAGAAGTACGAACCTTTGCCAATTCTGTGAGTTCTTCTTACTAATTATTCAACAATTAGAATTAAAATTGCAATCTTAGATAATGTGATGCAATGTAAGGTTCTAGAATGATCTTAAATATACTTAAAAAAAAAACATCACGCAACGTCAAGCTACGTCAGGCAACTCATAACTGAAGCATTTGCTTAATTGACGCCGCATGACGGGGTCCTACCGATTATCCTTACATCATTGATCAAACGCTTTGAGGGCAACGCTCTCCTGAATGTAG